GGGGGGGGGGATGAGGATTTATTGCGGTCGAGAAGTTGCGAATAGAACACGATAACACCGATACCGCCGGAACGTACAGTTCCTGCTTGCTGTATAGCGTACCGCCGTTCTACATATCGGCTGATCGAAGTTTTTGAATTCGAGCTGTCTCCCTACGAGAGGAGTAACTGATGGCCCTCGTCGATGTGTGTTGCTCGTCCTGGTGTGGGTCGCGCTTTCCCTCCATTAAATTCCGTTTTTATTTTTCCTTTTAATTTTTTAACTGGACAGGAGTTTTATCGCGTTTTTTATTGTAGTCTTATATTCGATTTATGGTATCGCAAATGCTACAGTTTTCAAAAATTGTATTTTTGTAATTCATCAGCTAGAAAGAATCGATGACACTTTGTTATTTACGTCAGTATAGTTTATATAATATATATATGTATTGTATTAGTTTTATATAGTACATGTACCTATACGTACTCTCTAAATTTTTTGGAGTGTACTCTCACTCTAAAGAGTGAAAATCGAAATAGTCTTGAAAAAGAGTAACTCAATTTTCAGTCTTTAAGAGTGAGATTTTATAAAAATTTTAGAGAGAGAGTATACAGTTCAATACCGCAAATGTATATACAATTTGCGCGACATTGAATTGCAATTTTTACTTCAAAGTATTTCTTTCAAATAAGATTCTATTTTATATTTTACGAACGTTTCTACACAACCCAGTTGCTTAAAGCGCAATTAAATATAATTTTATACGCGGTATGTATGTGATCCGACAGAGTTCAGTTTTAAATTCCGCGGACATGAGAGCTCCGATTACGATCTAACATCGATTGTTATGACGACTGTCCACGCAATGAGATGCGACACGTATATACGCAGTCGATGAATATAGATCATTCTGTATTATTGCACTTGCACGCGCGATTTTTAACGTCCGATCGTTCTAACACGCTCTGTGCGTCGCATTTTTGCGATACGAATGCTGAGCCGCGGGCGCTTTTCGCTGCAATTCGAAACTCAATTCGGACACCTTGCTGCGATATTCATTACTTTTAACATCGCCGGTAACGACTCTCGGCAATTGGTAGTCGATGTATATGTACAAAAAAAAAAAGAAGAGGGGAAAAAAAGCAAGCCCGAGTGCATCGCGAATATTTAACATCGCGAATGGACCGCGGGGAAACGCGCGCGAGACACGGTCTTCCCGTTTGGGAATCAAACCGGGGCTCTGATACCGAATAGTAACCAGGTCGCGCCAATCGCTCGCATGTCGCGCGATTGGCGGAAGCATTGGTCATTAATGGATTGGACGGATTCCTGTCGTAAGCGCGTCCGTTACGTATTCTCGTACATGTATGTACGCGTATGTATATACATGCCGCGCATATCCACCCCGGAGAATTCCCGCGGTCTCCTCGTGGTGTCCCCGATAATCGCAACGACGAAGGACGACGAAGACGACGACGCCTTCGCGCTAATACGTGCTCATTATCCGATCGTAATGAATTATCCTTGTTCCGCAGAAAACGGAGAGCAACGCGACGCAGGTCGTGCTGACGAAGTTGGAAGTGGAGACGGCGGCCGTGTACAGCTGCGAGGTATCAGCCGATGCACCTTCCTTCCACACAGCTATAGTTTACGCGTCGATGAGCGTCGTCGGTAAGTGTCTTCTTCCGCGGACTGCTCTTCCTACTCGTATACCCGGTTAAGTTTACAACTTAGGACGCCATCGTCGACTAAACGTAAAAACGTACGTAGAGCGTCATTATGTACGTAGCAATCCTGCACTTTACGGCCGACTATCCCTGCGATATCGAGTTTTTGATAAGGGGAATAATAATAAGCGCGCTATTTAAATCGCACTCTCTCTCTCTCTCTCTCTCTCCCTCTCGCCGTTAATAAAACTTTTACGATAATTTACTGTAAGATCGACGAACCAAGGCGCTTTGCGCTCGAAAAAAAAGAGGCGAGAGGGGAAAAAGAGAAAAACGAAGAGAGATTCCTATGCCTCGCGACGCGACGCCTTTTACAGGGATTGCATGTGCGCGTTTCAGTAATATATTTTAACAAAACGTAAACTGCACGTCGCTATTTTCGAGGTTCCTTCATTAAAACGTGGCATCCGATAAATTCTGTCCCGGTAACATTTTGCCGGGACTTCCTTTTCAAATATACCGTAATCTATTCTCTGATATTACGTACGAACGTACTCCCGGAGAGAATTAAATGTCTTTTTTAATTACTCGTGTCTCGCGCGCGCGTCACAACCAGCCGCGGCTCGCAAACGAGGAACAAGGAAATATATACTGTATATATAGTAATTATATACATATTCGCGCGCGCTCGAAAGCTCGCGGAGACGCGACACAAATCTTCCGGGGACTATTCAATTCTCGCGTCTCGCGCTCGCGTTAGAGAGCGGCGCGACGCAAACTTTTATATTCGTTGCGTTCTCCCCGTTTCGTCGTAAAGGTGCGACGAGGCGCACGAATTTACGTTCCACCGTAAAAAGTGAAAAAGTAATATTTTCAGAGCTCCGGGCTGCCGGGCGCGACGACACGTACATAGATAATATACGTACAGGTGCCTGTAACGACTTGTGCGGGTGTGCGTATTATACTTGACAACGCGCGTGCCGATATAGTGAAACGGTCGGGAGCACGCGAGCGCGAATCTCTCCGTCTAAGTAGATCGTGAGAGAAAAATTTTTCGTACGAGGGACGAGAATGCGTGAGAAATGCCGTCTCGCCCCTTCGTATCGACCAACCGTCATCGCCGAAAGTTTCGACTGTGTCGGGCTTTAGGGAACGACGACGGATCCGGTCAAGCCCGGTCAAAGCGACAACGTCTCGGCTGCACGCAAGCTTATGCGATGCTTGGTCGCTTGCGTATGTACAGGGTGGTCCGAACCTAAAGAATTATCAAATATAATATAACGCGTTGACTAAAATAATTTCAATCAAATATTCGGTTAAAATAATTTTACTTAAAAAAATATATTTGTTGTAATTGTTACTAAACGATTGGTTTTTATATGTGTTTGGGACTTAATCTTAGACGAAATGAGCTTTACTTCAGTTTGGGATATGCAATTTGAAAATTGACTGCGAACACATTAACGTGAGAAACCGAAGATTTGTTGAAAAGAGTAGTTCTCCTTGTGATATTTTCGAGAGAAAATCTGCTTTCGACACTACGAAATAGTACGTATGCACAGAGGGTGGCTCACTAAGGCAGGGACTGGGGTGGCTAAGATCTGGAGCACTCTATATATGTGGAGTATATATTGCCTTCGCAGAATTGCCCTCTGAGATGCCGTCGATACAGGGACTAAAGAGGAAATACCGCGTCGACGATCCGCTACGTTTGAACTGCACATCTGGCCGGAGCAAACCCGCCGCGAATCTCACTTGGTATATCAACGATCGACAGGTATGCTCTAACTGCTAATGATAGTAATGCGCGCGCGGTTAGACGAGAGGATAGACGGATGGAAAGGAGTGGGAGAGGAGGATCAGATACCTCTATTTAGTTTACCCCGGCTTTGATCCATTATCCCTGATCAAACGTCAGAGACAAGGGAGCTTATGGGATACGTTCCTCTTCGAGATGTTCCAAAGTTGGAGCGAGCAGCATCCGCAGTGCGGAAAATAATTTAATATTCCGATTCTCAATTAGCGTATAATATTAATGTAAATATCTCTTGATTAAGGCTTGATTGAGACAATGTCTGAAAAATTTTTTATCTTTGTATATATATTATATATATATATATTTAATTAGTTAAATTTTTTAGTAATAATTTAAGTAATTAAATCTACCGTTTTAATAAGAATCATAAATTAAACGATAAAATGCTAAAAACTTTTAACATCAGTATATTTTTAAGTATTTTTACAAAACGAGCATTTGCAATGCTCAAAATAGTTTCCTTAATCACCTTACGTCAACGCACCTCTACGTAAATTATTTCACTACTAGGCACGAACGCATGATTGTCGGAAAATTGAAATCGCTGTACCACATCGAGAATTTATATAACAGCAGAATTAATGACATATGAAGCAGCGCGAATATACTATTTTAACCTTATACCACAATATCAATATTTATTTTATCTCTTAACAAGCTATATTATACTATCGTTAACTCATCACGGCCATCGAATAATGAAACCTAATTAACTTTCTAAAATTAAATATAATATATTTGAGATCATTTACTACTATATCAAAATATATATACAGCTCTGATGTTATAAATTGATTATCTACATTACATTTATATGCTATACATATTTACAGAAAATAGACAAAACAACCCTGGGAAATACACATTTATTTCACTACTTGTTTTGTTCAACAAGAGAATGGTTCATTATTTGCTTTTTTAATACATGCATATATATTCTGTCCTTGTCGTTCCGAATAGTCCCTCAATGCTTAAATAGAGATCGTTGTACTATTTTATTTAGAATATCTTTCTCAGTTTCTTATACAAATGATATCGAAGGAGAAAATTTTCTTCTCATTCTACGTATTTTCCAAAATTATTATTTTTCCAAAACTTTATCTTTCCCGGCCAATGTAATCGCCTGATTTTAATATCCATTATTTGTAGTTTTGAGAAGCGGAGTAAGAAACAGATTTCCTCCTCCGATATCTTTTAACCAATTAGAAGACGTTTTGCTTAAAGACCGGTATAATAGTATTGTATAATAGAATTTGTATTAAAGATAAATGGCAAACTTGGTTTTTATTAATAAAACAAGCAGATAGTACATTTCTCAGGTGTGGACGCATTATTTTGTATAACTGTAACATATTTAGAGAAGTTTTGCGTAATCCCGTTGACACTATAATTTGTATCTTTTCTGTTTCTTTTCTCCCTTCAGCCTCTCAAAGCGCACGTTCGCACGTACGGCCCGCTCGATACAAACGAATCGGAGTGGCAGATTTCGCAAATTGGGCTCCAGTTCCTGGTTTCGCACGATCACTTTGTGAGCGGCAAGCTGAAGATACGTTGCAGCGCGTCGATATACGATATTTATTGGCAGAGCACGGAAGTCAGCGCCGAGGAGGATCGGCCGCGAGTGATACATTACGAGCCTGCCGCGACTATCGTCGGCATCAACTACCTCCAGCCACCGCCAAATTTTCAGACCGGCCAGAAGAAACCTGACGGGCAGGTTGGAGTAAAAGGTAACGTTTGTTTGCAATATGCTTGCGTTACTTGATTGACTGCTCTAAGGAGCACATAAATTATAACTCCATGATTAAGTACCGATTTAAAGTGTAAATTATAAAATACTAAATACCGAGAGAATGCGTGAGAATTTAAAATATGTATGCATATGTATATTACGTATAGTTTATTTTATCTCACTTTTAAAGGTTGGAAATTGAATTACTTTTAAATTATTTATACATAACTCCATCTAGAGAGAGAAACATACATATGTACATACAAATAAATTACGCCACGTGACGGAGTCATATTCATTATTTCAAGGAGATATAATTCTCGTAAAAAATCATCGCTTATTTATTATATCTTCGATTATTTATCGGAATTCAAGACACCTCTAGACGCGGACCAGCTGCGGGTTTATTTGCTTAGAGAGAGTTCTAATTTTTTCGAGCTCGAACAATATCCGGCAGACTCGACGAACTCTTTGAACTCCTTAGGCGTTTGCTTCGGAACACAGTCGGGGCATTCAGAAAGCCACGCCGCTGAGCCGCGATCTGAATTCCTCCGCTCGTGCGACTTAATCCCTTGAGAAAGAAAAACACAAACAAGAAGTAGGAGATATTGTATTATTAGAGCATCTCGTTCGATAATTTTTCAGTGCTGGGGTCCTCCACGGTGAGCCTGCGGCCGTCGGCGAGGATCGTTTTGGAATTGTTTGCGCTTCTTCTAATCGTCATTCGTTAAAAGCATATATAGTGCATCTTTCGAGAAACGCGCTTTGGAACACTTTGCGTACGTTGACGTGTTTGTAAGAGGAGGAGGAGAAGGAAGACTCGAGAGGCGCTTTGTGCGATGATGACGTTTCCTCTATGGGATCGCCTCGAATCACCACGCAGCGGTAATATCCAACTAGAACGAATACAGGAAGCTCCTTGGGTCACGTCACAGTGATGAAACTTGAAAGGCTTGTTCGAATGTGGTGGAGGAATGGAAGTGACGGGACGCAACCGATAGTTCGATCGGCTTCGGACGACAGAAAAGGCCGAAAAAAAAAAAAAAAAAAAAAATCGTGGACGAAGGGCGAATTCCAGCGAGATGATTTATCCGACGTTCACTCATCCAACGATCAACGAAATGTCCAAAATGCACTACAGCGACGACACAGACGCGGCTGGATATATATACTCGCGATATATATATTCAGGAGTTATTTTATTATTATTATTAGACCATGTACTCTTGCTTCCTTCCAGCGGGAATAATGTGTTTGCAATGTGTAGGTATACGTATTACATACATATAGTACGTTTCGTCGCATCGTATGAGAAGATAGTTTTTTTTTCGTACTTTTATAACTCAGAAGGAGACTATAACGTAGCATGAATGTACGTGCGTATTCCTCGACAACGTAAAGACACATATACACGTAATACGAACATATACCGAACATAAATGCATACAACACGACAGATATACGAGTATGTAAAATCGCTCGATTACACACACACACACACACACACACACACACTGTCATACTTTTTCTCTGTACGAATAACTGATAAGTAAAAGTGTTCGAGAAAATATATATTGCGGCCCGCCTAAGTATTTTACAGTGTGCGAGATGATGTACCTGAATCGGATATTTGCGCGAATTTCTTTCTTGTGTTGCTATTTAGGGACTATGTACTATATGATAAGCGAGATAAAGATGTGCTATATCGAGTTATATGATAACAACACAACTTTGTGTATCTCAGTCATTCCATTTTGTATTAAAGCGTAATTGATTTATTAAATGAGGCTGATTTAATTGATGTACAGTACGTCTTATGGAGTTTATTATAAATTCATTAAGTATACACTCTGTCACTGTGTTTCTTTGTGTGTAACCTCTATTTCTTACATTTCGCAGCAATTCACACTGCATTCTAATACGTTTTTTTTTACATCCACATCATGCAAATAGAATCTATTGCCATTCATCAAATATCGGTTAACATCGTAAATTATATCGCGCGCAGTTTTCTCGTATCGATATTCCATACCATTCGTTTTTTATCTCAAATGAATTTCCGATGAATGTTTTAGTAAAAGTTACGTTAAAACTAAAATATCATTAATTAAAGCTGAGACAAAAGAATAGAATATCTGAAATATATTTGCAATTAAAATAATTTTTCTAATTTCCTTTTCTTTATTATACAGCTGTAAATACAATTATCCAGATGAGTATAAAAGTTTGATTTCGCCCATGATGTATATGTATATATATGTAGATCCTTATATCAATATTACTAATATAATGATATGAGAATATATCATATATATGATAATATGATACCAAGTATAGCACAATGTGAGTGCAAAACAATTATTCTTATTAAAAAATAAAATTTTGTTATGTACTAGTTATTGTATATTAGTTATTCTAGTGACGCGCGTTGCGCGTCAACAGTATAATCTTATTTTCTATACTAGAACAATACCTATCCATTTGAAACGATTCAGATCAGCATTAAAACGATGTCGTCGTTTAAATAATGTACGAATGCAAAGAAGAGAGCCGGCAGTTGACTACCGGTGAAAATGCTTGATTTCCGTGAACATTAAATAAAATATCATTCGACAAAAGCGCGCGTTAATTTGCCTGGCGAATTGAGGAACGCCGCTTTGCGGATTATTATATTTATTTATGCATGACCGTCGTGTGTACGCCGTTAGTGTGATAACTCAATTATTGCACGCCGTAATGTTTACCCTGTGTCGTTATGCGAAATATATAATATAACCACACAGGTATTTTTGATACTTGTCCGTTCGTAATTGTATGCCAGGAAAATTGGGTTAGTATTCAAATAACCTGGAATATCAAATTTGTTAATGGCTTCCTTCTTCTATGAATCTCTTAAAATACAGCCGCAATTATTCTGTATAATATTAATATCTTTTTTTTTTAATTATAACAATTTAATTTTCACACTTTGATTTTGTGAGTTTCATATTAATCATATTTATATTAATCATATTCATAATAGACAGTATGATAAAAATAAACGTTAAATACATATTTTTAGAATAATATTTGATATGACGATTTCTCAAAAAAGAAACATTAATAATTATTTCAGAATTCATATTTTAACAAATTTTACATTACGTAAATCTAGTTCAGATAGTTGAAATAGCTTCGAAAATTTTCAATATTTTTTTCTTTTATCTCTTATCATATGTAACGATCTCGTTGAATAGTTGAAGTGTCAGCAAAAATGTGACAATCCGCGTAAATGTGATTGTTTATCGTAGTGCTCTTCTTGTAAGTATAAGAAAATGACAGTTTTCCAAGAATTTATGAAAATTCAATAGTCAATAACAAAAACACTAGACCTCGCATTTAATGACTCTCGTTGAAAAAGTTTTAAAATTTTCTCGACGTTTCTTGTATATTTTCTATCACTTCAACTGAATTTAAAAAATAATTTGATTTATAAAAAATAGTGACATGTGTACAAAAAATTCAATATTAAAGCTATGCACATTAAATAATCTTATGTTGATGCAAAAAGTGTTTACAACTGTATATCCTATAATAATAATAGTATCAAAAACATCGTTTGATACTAACAGAGCCCATATATCGCCATGGATCGAAATTCACCTACAATATTTAATTTAGATCCTCGATACTGCTCACGAAAGTGACCGCTGCATCTATTTACAACAATGGGGTATTGTAAACACATTTATTATTTACTGCACAAGAGGTCCTCTCTCTCTCTCTCTCTCTCTCTCTCTCCCATATCGCCTGGGGAAAATTATGCTGAACGAAATAACGCCTCGTTTCTGATCCTCGGATATGGACCACGAGACTAGGGGCGGCTGGCAATCGATGGCGCCAGACCGTGGGTGTGTGTGCATACGTCAGGCGCTCACGGATATCGGCAAACGAGATACTGCAGCCCAGTACGTATCAGTAGGCGAGTACTCGCACACGAACGAGGGTTTCGTTGCTTGGCGACGGAAAATCGGAGCGGCGTCACGTCGGGGATTCGTGAAAGGATGAGAATCGCCGTACAGTCCGAGCGATCCTTCTCTCGGGGTGGCGAATGGTAAAAAATCGTGCCGCGTGCGTACTTCACGCGAGTCGAGTGCCACGTGAGAATTCGCGGAAATCCCGTTGGTGGAGGAATCGTGTTGACCTGGCGATTCTCGCGTGGCGTTTCTCGTGCGCGAGTTTAACCCTTACGTAAACGCGAGCTCGCATTGCCGTGAATTTCCGAAATAATTCGACGAGAATTCCCACTAACCGGTCGCTGTGTATAATAGATGTGGTGCTCGATCGACACGGAAGTGTCGTTGAATTTCTACAGGTGTTCGGCGTCCTTTATGATTTTGTCGGTCGCCACGTAATGTTTGACGCGGGGTGATATTGCAACCGAACGCAATTTACACCTCGCGTTTACTCACCGCATCTGTATCGCGAATTACCATGCTTTCTCTATATAGAGATGTAAAACGATGCGCAACCGAGACGAACTTCAACAACCGACAATCTTAATGCAAACGCATTAATGCGGCTAATGTATTCCGCATCCGATCTTCCGAGGGAGATTGCTTTCCGCTGACGTCGCTCTTGCAAGTGCGTGCCTCCTGCGAATGTGTGCGTGCGTGGCATTTCGCAAATACACACCACCCGGGTGAATCCAATAATCGAGTCGCGGAATTACTCTTCGCGTATTTCCACTTTGACCTTTGACTCGATCCGATATTAATGCTCGCGAGGAAATAGATCTCGGTGTTTTGTAGAAGTCACGTGGGACTTGCGCGATACGGTGATAGATCTAGAGTACCGCACGACTGATGAGAACATCGATCGTTGAGCATCGCCGAACATACGCGAGATCTTTGGCACCAGATTGGCAACAAAAGCGCAAAATATACTCGTCGTCGTAAGAATTTTCGCGAACTCTCGTTGGACCTCTGCTACCCTCTGCTAAAGTTTGAGCGCCATGGAGTCGCTGTTGGAGGAGGGTGAGTCCCGGAGATGGTATGCTGCTTGCGTACGCACCTGCCGACTTCTCCCTTGAGGCTCTCGGCAAATTTGCAAGACGTATCGCGCCAAGCAATTGGACATTGTTAATAAATTCGCATGGAGCTGGCTAATTTCTATGCACGGCAAAGCACTATGCTGGATGCATTATTCAACATTTATTTTCAGAATCCTTAATCATCTCGATATTCTCCAGAATCTTTATTTATTTTAAAAAATTTAAGTTCGTATAACGAAATTGCTAAGAATATAAGATATTTTCGACTTCACTTATCTTCTGTATCGAGAATCACATAAAAGTAGTTTACGAATATTTTCATAAATATATGCAATATCATATATACTGTAAAAATAAAATATTTGAAAAAAGGACATTCGATATAATGTCGTTTCTTAAAATTGTAGCGTGAAGTAAAAACATCAGACGAATGTGTTAAAGGCACGATTTAGATCGGTCTACTTTTTTAGCTCAACTTCTTGTACGGTTTATTTTTTAATTCTGTTTTCTCTCCACGTTGGAGAAAAAAAAAGAGAAAAGTTGACCTATGCAAGAGTTCAGCTAAAAAAAAAAACAGGCTTATGCAGGTTCTCGTCACACTTACGCTTCTGTTTTTGCATGCGCCGAAGAAAATTAGCCAAGCAGATCATCAGCGAGCAGAGCATCGCGTTGTGTGAAGAGCACACGAGCAACAAAAAGATATCCTCGATAAAGTACAGTTGATAATCAACAGTCAAATTTCGCGATGGAACTCATCGCACCTGCATTCGTTCCACTTGGCGCAGGTAATGTCGAGGCCTTTTCACAAGAATATATACGCTCGCGTGAAAATACCTAGCGGCTGACATTTTTGTCATATCGATAACGAATGGCACCGTTGATTCCTAACGCGAATAAATCGAATCCGCGAACCGCAGAGATAATCGCGCCGTAATTTGTGCTGTGTGACAGCGACGCAACCATTCTTTGTCCGCTCTCCGTTCATCGGTCGATATACGACGTTTGATTAATTGCGATAATGCTTTCCCGGCCGCTTTTCTCCCGGTGAAAAAATATCGCTAGAAAAATAAGCAGCGATGATTCGCGCGCGGACGCTCGTGAATATTTACAATATTTCCGATCATCTTTCGGTCACGACGGCGCAAAAGCGACGAATTACCATCGAGCTCGCGGTCGTAAACATCGCACGTATGAATAAGTTACGTTCAATTATTGTGTACACGCGAAATATATGTCGAGCTAATAAAGCGTGCGACATTTCAAGCTGCATTTTACATGATTGACGCAAAACTCATGTATAAATATGAAACTAGCGTAAAATACGTCAGTATAGTGGTTATCGCGACGAATACCCGTTTCTCGCTCTTGGTTCATTTTGAGATGCTTTTCAACTCTTACTTTATTCCACAATTTATTATTTTAATATCAAAATTTTTTTTAATTACTAAAAATCTCGGATATTTTACTTGTAACTGGCCAAACCTATACAAAAATGCGTGTAGATCAGTGCGCAGTCAATGAATAATTTCACATGTATAATTATCTATTAATAGTACCAATTTAATGTATGATGTTAATCGTAGTCGATTATTCTCTTTATATTCAGGACTGTAAGTCTTGAAACACAATAAGTGTAGTAAGTCGTAAAAAATTAACCAATTATAATCAATTATTCTGCTCACATTCGACCAATCTCTTACGGCTTAAAGCTTGCGCTGTACCTACCGTGTTTCGGGACTAATTGATCTTAC